GGAGAGGACTAGAGGGAATGGCCTTGAGCTGAGCCAGGGCAGAGTCAGATTGGATGTGAAGAGAAATGTTTTTCCTGTTGTGGTGCTCAGCACTGGGATATTGCCCAGGGAGGTGGTGGAGTCACCATCCCTGGAGTGTTTCAGGGGTGTCTGCACCTGGCGCTGGTGGTTGGGTTGGGTGGTTTAGGGGACACAGTGGCAGTGCTGGTGGATGGTTCTATGAAATGCTTCTAGAACAAGCAATACTGGTGGGAGTGAGTAGAGCCCAGGAGAAAAAGGGTTTCAGAAGGGATTTCTGTAGCTGACACTAGGCTGTTAATTTGAGTTTCATTAAGGTTATCTTAGGATTTCTGTAGCTGACACTAGGCTGTTGAGTTTCATTAAGGTTATCTTCTGCGTGACCTCAGTGAAATAATTGCTGATTCCAGATTCAAATACAGGTTACTTATTGCCAGAATTTCCTGTGTGTTGGTCTAATGACCTTGTGGATTTGTGGCTTGGACTCGGCATTTCTGTGCAGCCCTGAGTGGCTTCTGAGCCAGAACAACAACCTGCTGCACTCAGGGGAGGTTCTGTCATGTGGGTTATTGCCTCAGAGAGGTGAGAGACCCAGGCTGCAATGTGACAGATGGCAAACCCAGCAGCAAAGGTTCCAGAAGCTTTGGGCCCAAAGTCAGTGTGGGGAGGTGACACCAAGCACACATCCACACCAGGTTGGATGGCGCTTGGAGCAACCTGGGCTAGTGGAAGGTGTCCCTGCCAACGGGATGAGATGATCCTTATGGTCCCTTCCCATTCCATGTTTAAGGACAGACTGGACATGGCACTCCCTGCTCTGCTCTGGTTGACATAGTGCTGTTAGGTCTTAGGTTGGACTTGATGATGTCAGAGGTCTTTTCCAACCCAGTTGTTCCTGTGATCTAAACCACCATGTGATCCTTTGTTTCTACGAACTGCTCATTAATCTCGTTCTGGTTTATTAACCCAGACACGAGGCTGAGGTGTAACGCCAGTTCGGGGCGAAATGTATCAATTCCAATATGAGATATGCCTCAAAAATATTAGTTAGCACATTATGGGGCAGTGACAGAGGACACAGGTCATCTACAGCCACCTGGGCATGGCTGAGGGGAATGAGGGGACACTGAGGGGACATTGTCACCCTGAGGTGACACTGAGGAGTCTGAGTGGACCCTGAGGTACCTGAGGTGATACTGGGATCACCCTGAAGGGTCTGAGGGGACACTGAGGGGACACTGAGTGGTCTGAGTGACTCTGAGGTGACCCTGAGGTGCCTGAGGGGACACCGAAGAGTCTGAGGTGACACTGAGGGGTCTGAGGTGACACTGAGGTGGTGCAGTGAGCTTTGAGGTGACACTGAGGTAAAGCTGAGGTCTCTGAGGTGACACTGATCTGACGCTGAGCTGACATTGAGGTGTCGCCGTGAGCTCTGCGCTGACGCCGTGAGCTCTGAGGTGGCGCTGAGGTGACACGGAGGTGTCGCCGTGAGCTCTGAGGTGATACTGAGGTGCCACCGTAAGCCCCGCGCTCACGCCGAGCTGACTCCGCGCCGCGGGAGGCGGCGCCATAGCGAGATCAGGAAGGGGGCGTGGCTTCCT